AAGCAAAAAACTGACACGTTATACCAACTTCAATTCACCAATAATTAAGGATATTTATGATTTGCGCTCGTTACTTAAACAATTACCCGGCAAAGTTTATGTCCATCTTTTAGAAGATAAGCTAAAAGATCTTGCAACTTGCAATTCAAAATCAATTCAATGGTCATGCTGGATCCCAGACCTTGTACCTGATTTATTAAGGTTGCAATTGAAAACGAATGTATCCAGACCATCGAACTGGATGCCACGTTTTCGTTTCCTCCGTATATACTTATATTACCCCAGTGTGTTATTAATAACACAGGTTATCCACTGGGATATTACTTCGGGCTGAGCGAAAACTCAAATGCTTACAGAATCTTTTATGAAAGACTAGTTTCATCTGCTACAGATGTTGATATTCAAAATGTCCCGATTTTAAGCGATTTGCACTCTTCTCTTGAAAGTTTTTGCAAAAGTAGCCATTTAATTCATTGGCTTTGCGCTTATCATTTTTTAAAAACAATTAAAGATAGTGTAATCATGAGGGGATTGATTCGAGAAGTAATATATGCAGAAGATGAAGCAACGTATAATGTTAGATACGAAACATACTCCGAAATTGTTAATCATTTAAATAAGAATGAATTGGTTGATCCTCTTGATATGGAAAAATGGATCAATCTTGGCAAAGAGGAATTCAAATCCAAAATCGCACGATTTAAGAGAGATGTCAAAATCATGCCTAGCAATCATGCGGAAGGTAATCACGGGAGCTTGAATACCAAAATGAAGGAGATTTCAAGCACAAACAAACTTTTGAAGTTCCAAACAATGATTGAACATATAATGTCGAGATTTAATCAAATTGATGATCCAAAAAATGATAATGTAATGAAACTTTATAGAAAATTGAAAATTTCGGCAATTAAAAATAAAGTCGAACAGCATTGTAAATGCAACTGCAACATGGAAAATGTTTATAAACTATATGGTGTTCATATTCCATGTATTCATAACATCTTAGATGTAAAACCGGCCGATTTAGAAAAACCTAAAGCATTTCATATTGGAAAATTGGAATTCAATAGTTCGAAGAATATTCTAGTTTATGATGATGAAGACAATCCGATAGGAAAGGGTGATCAGAAAAATGAACAATGCAAAATTTCGGCTCGGAAAACATTTACAACCAAAGTTGAGAACGAAATTTACTTGTATGAAGAACAAGTAACTCCAGATATAGGAGTTAAAAGTCTTGTTCAACGCATTTTAAATCTTCCGTCAATTGACAAGGCAACAAGTTTCATGTTTAATCTTGGGATGAACATCGATTATGATACAATTCAGGCAATTCATTATATATCATCATTAAGAAAAACACATCCAGAAGTGATAGATTTGGCATTAAGTAATGCATATCTTCCGGAAGAATCAGATGAATATCAGCAAAACAAAGACATGATTTCAAAAATTATCGAAGAAGTTTTTGATAATAAAGACAAGGAAAGAGATCCAGATTTTGTTGTAAGAAGGAAGAGGAAAAATGGTTTGTGAAAAAAATATTTATATGAATAAAATGTGTATGATTATTGTTTATAAAAACAGTTAATAAATATGAGAAACTATTTAATTATTTGTTATATAAAGATTCGATATACAGAACAGAATGAAAAAGGATAAAAAAATTAATCAGAAAGATGTAAAAGTTTGGGAGATATAAAAAATATTATAGAGATAAAATATTTCCTGAGAGATAAAAAAGTCAATGAAAGATGCAACAGTGAGAGACTGATGCAACAGTGTTAATGAGATGGAATAGTGTCTGAGAGATACAATAGTATCTAACAGAAGCAAAAGTAAGTGATAGATGCAACAGTGTCTATGAGATGCAACAGTGTCTATGAGATGCAACAGTGTCTATGAGATGCAACAGTGTCTATGAGATGCAACAGTGTCTATGAGATGCAACAGTGTCTATGAGATACAACAGTGTCTATGAGATGCAACAGTGTCTGAGATGCAACAGTGTCTATGAGATGCAACAGTGTCTGAGATGCAACAGTGTCTGAGATGCAACAGTGTCTGAGATGCAACAGTGTGTATGAGATGCAACAGTGTCTATGAAATAACAGTGTCTGAGATGCAACAGTGTCTATGAGATGCAATATTATCTGTCACACATAACAATGTCTGACAGATATATCTTTCTATGATTCTAACCCTAATTACATTTTTCGTAAAAACCTATATTTAAGATTTGCAATTAACACCCTTTTTTCTCTTCCAATAATGCACAAAACCAAGATTTGACATCAGATTTAAAATCTCCATCAAGTCTGCTTTCCAAATCCGCTGTCAAAACTTGAATATCTCAATTAATTAATGATATTCAGATATTGCGAATAATCTTTAGGTAAAGAAGAAAATTTAGGTTGTAAAATCATATAAAAATGTAGTTAGAGAGCAAAAATTATGTTTGAGTGGATTTCCATGTCGTAGTGGATCTAGATGTTTGAGTGGCTTTAGATGTATGAGTGGTTTTCAATGTCAGTGTGGATCAAGATGTCTGGGAATAAAAGTAAGTCGTAGGTTAATATAAGTTTGATATTAATGTAAGTATGACTTAAAATGTAAGTCTCGGACGAAAGTAAGTCTGACTTGAAATGTAAGTCTCGGACGAAAGTAAGTCTGACTTGAAATGTAAGTCTCGGACGAAAGTAAGTCTGACTTGAAATGTAAGTCTCGGACGAAAGTAAGTCTGACTTGAAATGGAAGTCTGATTCTAAATGTAAGTTCTAGACTAAAGTAAGTCTGATTCTAAATATAAGTCTGATATTAAGATAAGTTTGTAACTAAAATTAAGTCTTATTCCAAAAGCAAATTTAATTGTATAATAAGTCTGGATCTAGAGTAAGCCTTAGTCTACAGCTATTCTGTGTCAAAAATAAGTCACGAACCATAGTAAGTTTCGGACTAGAGTATGTCTGTAATTCGAATCATTCATATTCTTCAATTATCCCGCCAAAAAAATTATCGTCTTTTTATCATACCATAGTTTTTATCAATCTCGTTCTACTAAAAAACCTTTATATTGGTGATTTCTTTGTTAAACCCGTATTTTTTCATGTGAATCTTATTGTATAAACTCTAAAAGTTCAATTTCCGGTCGAAAAAAACTTGAAAACAATTTGCATTCGACGAGTTAAAGAGCTCTATTTATTCTAAATTTTCCAAAAAAAATTAGATTTCGTTTTTTCGCTTCAAAAAATTTTTTTTAAGTTTTAAAATTTGTAATTCAAAATTTTTTTGGAAAGATTTACGATTTTTTAATACTGCGAATGAGTTTTATTTTACATACTCTATTGATAAATCATATTTTTGTCGAGATATAACTTTTTTTAAAAAAATTATATGCAAAGAGTGTTATAGAATTCTAGAAGGTATAGTGCATAATTTGAAGTATACTATCAAATAAAGAAATTTTACAGTTTTTTAGTTTTATTTAGATGTACGTTATTTTAGATGGCTTCGTCGAAAACAAAGCATGTCTGTTAAGTTTATTCTTAACATGGTAAATAAAATGGCAACGAAGCCCAGTGTACTGCGTCTTATGCCGTAGTTTTTGTTATCTTCATACTCAAATACAACAAATACAAATAGATTTATTACGAAAAAACGTATAAAACAAATGATATATTTATTTCTAGACAAGTTGACGAACATGTAGCGCAACTGTATCGCTTTAGAGAACAGTTCTTCCAACACCTACTCATTCAGTGAAAGATTTAAGAAGAACTCTTACTCGACCTTAACTACCTACGCTTTGCTTGAACAATTCCCAACGAGGTTACTATAAGGTTGCAAGTCTTGTCAAAATGTAGTATGCAATACGTTGGGGAAAAATAGATATATACGAACAAACTACTACAGTCTAGCAACTAGTCTTTAAGTGTAATGTATTTTTGCTACAAAGAGCTCATAACGAAGTCAAATTTTGCAATTTGATGTCAAAACTAGCTAGTTGTTGAATCAAATAGCGTTGTGACTTTGTATACATCACGATCTTGTGGTATCAGAGCTGTACTGCTGCAGACTAATTCAACTAAACATGAGCAAGATTGGGATTTCTATTCTCTGGGGTGCGAGGCTCGTCCAAAGTTCAAGCAGCTACAGTGTTTTGGATCACCTAAAGAACTTTGGGAATTCAGTTATCCGTTACTACTCTTAAATTAAAGTAGAGCACTACAGCGAATCAATCGTAATGCCTAGTCTCTCCAGTAACAAGCTGATCTGCTATATTAACTTTAAAGCCAAATCGATTCACATTGTTGCTGGTAAGTCTGATTGCTTCAGATAGAGAGCATGAATTGCTTCTTTATCATCTAATCCCCATCCCCCTTGTTCCCGATTGGATGACATGGACAATTCATCTTTCTCTAATGAAACAAAATGACACTTTTTTGGCGGCTTATTGACTCAGAAAAATTTGAGAGTTAACGAATAATTTTGGCGCCAAAAATAATTTCTCTTAATTTATTAAATTTAATATACGCACATCCATAAGTTATGCTATTTTTTCTATTTATTTTGTTCTAAAATTCTAAATATTTTTTTTTCATAACATAAAATATGATGTCTAGTCTCATTTACATAACAACATGCCTTAGAATAGGTTTTTTATTCTTTTTGTCACTTTAAATTAAGAATAAAAAGATAATTTAAATTGAATATTTGCGATTATTCTCACTAATGCTGCTTCCTCTTTTATTAGGTAGACAACAAAAAGTTAGCCTTGGACTCCCATATCAGATTTTTGATTGGTTGCGTATATAATGAGCTGGGATTGATAGACGAAAACCCAGTGAGAAAATTTTTGACGCCAAATTTTATTTTCATTTTAAAAACATGTGTATTAAATTAAGCGAGGTAAAAAACATACTAATAACTTAGATAGATTTTATATCAATAACTAAATATAAGAAATAACTCTAATAAACAAAAGTAAACAAAATATAACTTCAGTGGAATAGTTCCTTGAATATCATAACGACCTTTCCAGACAGGTATCCTCCATAGCTCGAATCCAACAGTTTCTTGTACTCAGGAAAATCTTTTTTGAAGAATTCGTTCCATTCAGGATTTGTTGCGAGAGCTTTCTTAATAACAGGGTTTTTCTTCGACTGTTCAATGAAATAGTCCATAATTTCAAAGCAGGTTGGCGATAAAACCTTGTTTTGATGACGATGAGCGATATCCATCATAATCGGCGAATAAATGGTCACAACGACTTCTGCGTAATCGTTATCGGTCAAAGCCTTCTTTACAAAGTTCCTGAATGAAGAATGTAAAATTGTGGTCTCCTGGAATTGTAAAATTAAAACTGTAAGGTTTTGGAGTAGCATTGATCGCTTTAATGTACTAAAACATGATGGATAGAAGTCCATCATCAGTACGATAAAGTCTAATGCTGAAACTCTGTATTGAGCTAAATAAGTCATCGGTTCTGAGAGATATTGCAATGCTTTTGGTATCAAATCACGCATCATGAACTCAGTTTCTGCCGTACATAAGGAATTAAGGGCCTTCCATTGAGCTGAAATAATAAAATCTGGCGGATTTTTAAGTCCTTGTTTAACAGCATCAATGATTTCTTGTGTACGGAATCCTGATGCGAGTAACGGGTTTGTAGCTGATTTAAAGATGATTTGATATATACAGAAAAGTTTTGTCAAAATTGGGTCAATAAATTTGTTTTCGCTTTTTGATTCATAGGAAGGATCGAAGTTATGAAGCTCTCTAGCAACGTATTCTGAATATCCCATATCCAGAAGCCATTGCTGAGACTTTTCTGCACGAGGATCACCTGTAATCGTTTCCCAAAAGTTGAAAACAGTAGGATTTCCGCAATATCTCAGGAAATGGAAGATAAATCCGAGTTCAGGTTGGGCTTCTTCTGGTGAGTTTAATAGAAATGTCTGCGTAAGGGATGCTAATCTACCGATTGTATACTCTGGAGTAGTTTGGTCTGTTAGTAATTCAAGGGCAATATTCCGAAAGATGTCACTTTGTAATACAGCCTGATTTAATTCGCTTGCTCCAACTTGTAAACTTTGGAAAGCGTGGGATCCTATAACAGATTTATCATCTGATAGGGCTACTTTTAGTAAAGGGATCGTTTTCTCCTTCAAACTGTTGGTTAGAAATAAAGCAGTACTATTTAATGATATCTTCATTTAATGTTCTCACGCCAAAAACAACAGCACTGTGAGAAATAATAGCATCAAAGAGATAACCCCTTCGGATCATTGATTTTAATTCACTTATTTGTGCACTGAAGTTAGAAATAAATTAGTACGTATACATTTAGAATTTATGAATCAAGAAAAAGATAATTTCGTCAATTTGTATCATCAATTAGGATTAGCCTTAATATGTAGTTGAATTATGATCCAAACAGAATTAAAATTTTTTTCAAGGCAATTTTTATGTAAAAATTTTCAGGAGGAAAATAATCCATATTTTGTGATTTTATAGGAAAAACTGCAGAAATTTTCTGATTCGATTTTGTTCCGAACAAAAATTGACAATCAAAATAAACCAACAATTTATATTGGCTTTATGATATAAAATAATTCATTTTTAAATTTCAACCGGTAGAAATCTTTTGAGTTGATAACGATCATTTGTCTCACAAATAATAAATTTCATACAATAATTTCAAAAATCAGTTAGGATCGAATTTTTATTGGGGATCATTCAGCGTTCAGAAACACCTATAGGGTAAAGAATGAGATCACGTACTTTTATGATTTCTTCGAAAAATGCTGTTCAATGAATAAAGTTTATGATCAATTCATCATCGCCAGCTATATTTTCAATCAAATGGAGTATGTACTGGAATGGAAAATGAGTTTAAAATATACAATCAATCTTGATTCCATCTCAAAATTGTTTTAATTTTCCATAAATAAAAATTCTTTATTAGCCTTATCTACATTAAGGCACATTAGTTCATATCATATTATATAAACAGTTCATATAGCAATTATTGAAATATATTTATTAAATGCAGCATATATCATCATATTCAGTAATTCAGAATATACCAGCAACTGAAAGCTAATGGGAGAAGAATATACTAAACAAATACATCAATTTATTTTGCTCTTCCATAAACAACCTCAAAAGTTAAAATCGATTCGCTTAAAATCATCACATCATCAGGTTTAATTGAATAATTAGGAAATCTACACTTCTATGTATTGGGAAGAAATTTTTCCCAAAAAAAATTTATTTTGTTCGGACAACTTTGAAAAAAATGATCCAATCATGGAATACATTTTAGATACAGTCTTTTAATATGATTTCAAAAGCATTGAATTTTTTTGAATTTCAGAATTCTATCGATGCTCTCATCTTTCCTATCTCGCACCTTCGCTAATGAGTCAGTAATGGCCAATTTGCGCGAATCTATTCAAAAGATTGCTCTTGATTTTCCACAGAAGAACTTCCAAGAGCATTACAAGAGATGGGCTGATAACATGTACACAGAAGGCACTGGAATCAAGGACCCAAAGAAGTTTGACGAGTTCCTCAAGATTACAAAGTCGGATATTGAGGCCCTTAAACGCCAGGTTGTCATCCAGAAGATGTACTTGGAGTAAGTTATAATATTATGTTAATAGCACTTCAAGTTTAGAAGTAAAAGTATACTGAAAAGAAGTACTAATATATTTTCAATAATATCATTCCATTTTTTACACGATTATTATCGATATTTTTTTTTTCTAAGTACAGGTCAATCATCAAATACAAAAGGATCTAATAACATTCAAAGATAATGTTTTATTATTTGATTGCTATTTAAGATTTCATATAGTTTTTCTTTTCATTAAATATGAAACTAGAATTCATAGTTCTTATAACGAACGATAGATATTCTTTCAGTTATTCTGCTTCAACCATTACATTGCAGCCTTGTTCTTATTGAATGAAAAAAAATTAATGAATAATCTCATTTTATTGCATAAAAGCACATGCAAAGTATTATCATCAAAGGGAAATTACGCATGAAACATTTGAATGCTTGACTTAATCTGCAATTGCATAATTATGCATTTCATATCATATATAGTTTAATAGCTTGATATAGTTAAATTATACATTCAATTTCGATTTTTACGCATGCGCTTAACTTTAAAATATATGAGATATATCATATCTATGCATTATTTTCAACAACAATAAATTATTTACAAAGAAAAATATTTTAAGGTAATTCCATATGAAGCAAATATAATAACATAAGGTTAAAACACGCTGTCGGTATATTAGACAAATCAAAATTATAATTATTAATTGATACATCTATAGAAACAATAACAATTAGCGAGACATCAATAAATATCAATGAATCTATCAATATGTTTAAATAGAACTATACGGACATTTCCAATCGATTAGTTTTCGGGTATGATCTACAAATTTCATAGATGATACTACTTTATTCTTGAATAAATCCTCGAAACAGAAGTGCCAAGTCTTATGTTCAAGTTGAGTTATAATGACTTGTAATAAAAATGAAGAATGGAAAGTAGCAAATTTATAAAATAAAAAATAAGAAATTAAAAATAAGTGAACTTGATTACAAATCATGAGGCGATTCTATAGGCTAATAACGAGTGATTGCATTTGTTTGTTTCAATTATTTCATCAATTCTATTTTATTCAAAAAATGTCATATTATATGTCTTTTATATAAGTGAGATTAAAAATAATTTTTTCCCCTAAGCCTTGTTTTTAAATTTTGAATACAGTTTTGAATATCTTTCAAAATTTGAAGTTTAAATTTTCCTGCCTTCGACATATAAAAGTATGCTCCAAATATGGTCTAAAGTCCTAATATTGAACCGATTTTATTCTGAAAAATTGCGTAAAACTAAGTTTTTGAAGTAAAGTTCAAATATGCCATGTTCTTTAAGAATACAAGAGAATAAAGAAATGACCAGATAGTCACTTTTATTTCAATCGGTCACGATTCAATGTCAATTATTAAAATTCTATTTAAATTTCGGTTTTATTCAAATTGTTAGCAGCTTGGCAACTCTAAATTTGATGTTACAGGAGGCTTCTATAGAACTAGTTACCAGATTTATTCTTGCTCAGTTTCCGCAGGTCAACTGCGAAAATCTCGATTACAACTCGCATCTTGGAACATCAATATCTAATTTCCTCCGTCTTAGGTCGAATTATGATGAGGTTGCACAACTTGCGCAATCCCTTACAGGAACCACAGAGCCCATAAAGAGACTTAAGAAGATTTTAGAAACATGCACGAAAGTCGGTTCTTCAAATGTTAAGGATCCACTTCCAGGCAAAAAGACACGTCCGTGGACTCAAATGGAAGACAATCGTCTTATTGCTGGAATTCTCAAATATGGAATTGACGCTTGGTCATCTATTTCTGACTTTGTTGGAAACGGACGTTCTCGCCCACAATGCGCACAAAGATGGGCCAGAGCACTCGATCCAAAGATCTCCAAGGATGACTGGGCGGAAGAAGAAAACGAAAAATTACTTAAATTAATTGAAAAATACGGCGAAAAGAAATGGACACAAATTTCACTCGAAATGGGTAATCGCACAGATGTCCAATGCAGATACAGATACAAGCAGCTCAAGAGAAAAACGGTAGGGTCTATTAAACTCAGCCGCCAATCTGAGCCGGCTGTATCTAAATCTGAATTATTGGCATCATGGAATTTTGTCCCAACAGCAACATTTTTTGGCCATGCAGCTGAAACACAGAATTTGTCGCCCATATCTTTTCCCTCGGAGAAACCCCCGATAATTGATATGGCTCCAACAAACTCTGTTCAGATGAATGCACGCTTCGCATTTGGTGATATTACTCCCGAAAACTTCTTCGATTTTGAAGAAAGCGAGTTCTCTTCGCCTTTCGAAGCTGGTATTTTTACTGTATACTAAAACCTCCAATTTATTTATCCAATCATATACCCTTAACATCAAACCGTTCGATTAAAACCTTCGTTTTATTCTACTACATATTTGACATTTCTTCCATAATTTAATTATCGTTTCATATTTATAGATTTTTCAATTTTTGTCTGATAAATAAATTACATAGCTCAGATATATGATAATATCAATGTTCGATTATTGGATAACAAAAATTTTACGAAAAAAAATTTTAAACAACCATGATCGAATTTTTTTATTTTGATAACAATAAGGCATACAAATTACCATTAATAAATATTTACAAATGATGTTAAAAAGTGACAAATTAAGATTATTCATTTTTTCTCCAAGACAACAACCTTTCCTTGAATTTGAATACTTGTGATATTAAATTATTTTTTCCAAAAACCATATGCAGCAAATTATTCGATTTCTGCTTATTTCAATTTTCATATGGAAATCAACTAGATTTTTTCATGGTTCATATGCAACCGAATCAATATGGAATAATTTCATATTTTCTTATTAATATAAAGATCTGGGATAAGGTCATCAACTTTATCCCATGCAATATAGTATATGATGACCTTAAATTCTTCTTCTTTCATTTTAGACAGGAAGTTTTTGAATTTGAAACCTTTATAATATAGAAGCGTCACCAATTTCTCATTTTCTGGCTTGATAATGTCTGGAAATTTGTTTAGTATCTTTTGGTAAAGTTTTGCTAATAATTTAATATTTTTATCACGAATTTGGAAAATAACATCAATTAAGGAAAGCGACATTTGAATAGATATTATGTTAGTTGCAATTAAATCTATAATTTGTGAAGATATTTGCAAAACATTAATGGAATTGACACACCATATCATTTTTGATGCTTGAGTAGGGTATCCAAATGTTTTAATTAGCTTAATATCACTAAAATTACATCCAGCTTCATTTTTTTATTATCCAAAAATTGAATGGAAAAACTTGAATCCTTTCTCAAATTTTAGAAGTATCTAGGGTTGCAAATTTAGAAGCACAGCATAAATTTGGAAGAGAAAAAAATTCATTTTTGGAAGATTTTCTGGAAGTTAAAAGATTATATGAATATTCATTTGTTGTTAAGATATATATGATATGTAATGCTTGTTCATATAAGGGTTTCGTTTTGCTAAAATTGTCACTTTTATAGCATATTTGTTTTTGGATGTTTTGCGAAACCAAAAAAAAAACTATGATATACAATGTGTGTGTAAAGAAAATACTTTATTTACTCGTTAAAAAATCATTTGGTATTGATCAAGTTATTTTTTCTGGATAAAATATTATATGGATAATTGGATAGAAAATATGTTGCATGCTAAGTTCGGTCAACGATAGAAATTGAGTGGAAATTAATCGTCGAGGAAGTACGATTATGTAAAGTAAAAAAATGTTGTGGGATTTTTAATATTATATATTATTTTATAATAAAATTTTTTGAGTCATTTTAAGAAGCACATATAATTTTTTGAATTTAAAAATTAAAGTAGTGTCAAACGAATTTATCACTTAATTTAATACTCAGATTTCTTAAAATTAATGAAAAAAGGTTTTCTGAGAACTTTTGAGAATGGTTTTCAAATTCCATTATTGAAAATATATAGGTATTGTATGAAATTCAAACTCTATATTTATTAAAATTCTAAATTTTTAATAAAATAACTTTTCAGAGGAATATGATTTTGAATGGTTGATTAATAAGTATAAAAATGTCTACGATTTTAAGGAGGGAATTGTTCCTTATGAGGTATACATCATAACTATATACCTCATAAGGAACAATTCCCTCTTGATAGCTGGGAAACTTTCTCTGAATAACTTATCATTTGGAGAAAGTTTCCCAGCTATCTATTAGAAACTAAAGGCTGTGAGGCACTAATATATAATCAGTGCCTCATAGCCTTTAGTTTCTTATTAAAAACGAGAAAACTTGTTCGAAATGATAAACAATTTCGAACAAGTTTTCTCGTTTTAAGGAGGGAATTGTTCCTTATGAGGTATACATCATAACTATATACCTCATAAGGAACAATTCCCTCTTGATATCCTGGATATTTTTGAATATATTTTTTTAATTAAAGTTCTCAAAAGTATTATCAAAAGTGATTTTTAAAAAATATCTCCAATTAATTAACTAATTAAAAGTATTATATTTTTAAAATTAAATAGTTTTTCAATGTTTTTGAAGGAATTGAGATACTTCCCACGACAATAAAATTGAGAGGTTTACATTATGACTGATCTTAGCATGCAAAAAATACAATTATATAATCTTGTACCTGGTTTAATTAAGCTAATTGTCATCAGAAACTTGTAATTTTTATGAATTTCAGATTTTCTTTTCATTACTGCTTTTCTTAATAGGTCAAGTTCTTATTTACGTTATAAAGTATGATATTTACAAATATCAAGTTATCATGTTTTTTGAGAAATTATGAGAAACAAACAAAAATGAAAAAGATAGGAATAGCAATGAATAGTGATGTGAGTATAGAAAATGTAAGAGATATGAATGCAAAGCAATCAGTATTTAGGATATTGACCATAGATTTCGAAAAAAAATGCTGCATATTGAGCGAAAACTATGATTATATTATAAGGCTGTCATTTAAAGCATAATGAAACTATTCCCTTTTCATTTTAATCGAATAAGATAGTAAAGATTTTTGAATTAGCTAGAAACTGATGAGATGTTTTCACAAATCAGATTTTTAATCTCTATAATGCATAATTCACTCAATATCTCAATTTGATATTGCGAGATATTTTTGCTATCGGTTTCGCAATTTTGACACAATAGCAAGAGGGTTCTATAAGCATTATTATCAACGTAGAATCTGAATATCATATCAGAAAATGTCGCAAATCTGACATTTACAGACCAAATAGCAAAAATAATTGAATACTTTTCGCAAAAACTTTAAAAATCGATAAAAATATGAAATATAGATATTAAAGAGACTTTTTATATAATATTCATAAAGATTTTCCAAAAATATGATACCGCAAAATTTAAAAAGTGACGTCTTGAGTGGAGTCAAAGGTCGAAATTGCTAGCTAAATGTTTTTTTAGCGAAATTGCGTATTGTACGTTTTTTTCGCAAAACGACACCCTTAGTTCATAAGATAAATATGCTTGTATGATAAATAATTAAATTATTTCTATAATCACTATATCTAACTTTAATTGATATTAATGAAATTTACTATATTTCGAAAGGTATTGAATATTCTTTATAATGCAAAAGAAAAGGAAGAAATCAAAACAATTTCATTTACAAATGTTTATATAATTGGTAATCTAAAGAGTGAAAACATAATATTAAAGATATAAGATGCAAATCCTCCACTGTGGTTTTCAATCTCTTCTTAGGAAGCAAAATAAGATTCCAAATTTTGGGAATCTTTCTTTAAATCAACTATAATGTGTACATGAAATATTGTGAATGACCTCTTTATAGCATGCATGAAATAGTGAATTTTTATTTACTTCCAGATCAAGAAAAAAATGTAAACAATTCAAATTAACTTCCAAAAACTTTTTCCTTTATTCAATTTTTTGATACCAAATATGTTCAATATACTATTTTATGCATTTTTATTAAAAATTATTTTACAGCTTCAAAAAACTTCTTCTTGAATTCAATTTTTTATAATGAAATGTTGTAGAATATCGTTTCTAAATGCACTTTAAAACATATTTTAATAACTTCCAAAAAGTGAACGTTACTTCCAGCCCTTGAATTTTCTCCAATTCTCTCTCAAATTTAATAGGCCAAGAATTTTGGAAACTTCCAAAGGAAATTTCCAGACAACGATTAGGTCATTAGCATTGCTAATTCTTAAAGATGCTCAAATCATGGTTTAAATGGCTCAGTATATATTATCGTATGTATTGGCTGTTATGAAAGACACCGAAAAAATTCCAAAAAAGTTCTGGATTTCAAAATGTAAAGTAAAAAAATAATTTTTTTATAATCGTCTTTTAGAAGTTGTGTTTTTTGAGATTGGAAACTTCTCACTTTTTTCCCAAATTTGCAACCCTAGAAGTATCAAATATACAAACGCTACAAAAAACGAAATTGATGAAAATTTTTTGGAATAAATTTTTGAATATGTAAATGATTTCCTGATGAAATTATCTTTAAAAGATACCACATAAGTCTGTTCATCATGGTAAAAAGTAGATTTTGTAAAGTTCTCAATTTATATTATGAATTTTCAAAATGGAAAAAACATGTTTGGAAAATGGTAAATATTTTAAAGATGTTCCGCAATGTCTACCAAACGAAAATTTCCTATTAATTCCAAATAGGAAAATTTCCTATTTAGAATTTATGTAAAGGTAGTCTCACGAGAAAACTGACGGTAAAAATTCGATGAAACCAGGTGCATTGTATAGTACATATATGTGGTAAATAAATGTCGATTAGCTTTGTAAAAAATATCCCACAGTTTTTGAGATCTTGAAAACGGCCATTCAAAAAGTCGAAAATTTTCGCGAGATGTTAATGGGCAAGACAGTTTTTCGACAAATAAATCGTAAACATGGGAATTAAAATAAGGCGTTATATTATATATATGGTAAAGAATATGGATGTGAAGAGCGTTAGTAGAATGGAAAGACTTTGAAATTTTAAAAAATTTATCTGGACTAAAAAATTATTTGATTATAAAAAACATATTATATATCAATTGCTATATAGAATTATCATAACAGATTTTGGAAAAGCCGCAAATCCCCAAGTTGGAGAATTCATTAAATACTAATTATTCAGCTTTTTATCAGAAAGGAAGGTAGTCTAGGGGTTGGGAACACTATGCTCTTTTTGAATCTAAAAGGCAACTGATAACATCTTTGTTTTTTTTTCTTATTCTGCCATTATTGTTTTTCCTTGTTATGATTCAAATTAAAAATATTTTAGTAAAGGTATTTTGGACATCATTTTTTCACATTGTCTCAATGCAAATGTTTGAAAATTTTGTAGGCAATATGACAACTCTTTCAACATTTGTTCTCTTTTATTAACTCAAACAGATTTAGGATCTAATTTCATGCCTTCGAAGACATTTAAACCATCTTCAACATAATTTATTGACAAATTGATAACAATTACTCATGAATGTCGTAGATTTAATATCCTGTCACTCAGCAACAAATTCGGGTTCAATAACAAAGCTCAGTAAAAACTTTACAGAAATTCTCCAATTTATTTTAGTGTCTTTTTGCGTCATTACGGCTGCATTTTCTTCTGCATCTGAACGCTGTGTTTGGAAGAAGACGAAATACAGAAACTTTCAACACAAGTAATCAGATTTTCTTGTCTTTCATGTTAAAATGCTTCATCTCGCTAGGTATACGTCATTTATTGGATGGATTGTTAGCTTTGTGTCCAAATAGCAAAAAAAAGTATTAATTTAAATTTCGCATTTTGCATAAGTATACGCTTTAATTTATATCAAAACAGATTTAGATAGCTTAAAACAATATAGTTTACTCATAAATACATCTTGATAATTCACTTCTTCAATTTTCATAATCTTATATCCTGACCTATATCCTCTTATAAACCATATTTCTACTGAGATCTTCTTAAAGCATCTTTTTATCCCTATCTACACCTCGAAACCCTATTTTTCCGGCGGAATATGAATCTTCGGGTCTCGCTGATTCGATTTCTGCAGTCAGATCGTAAAAATACCCACTACATAGCCTGATAATCTCTATTTAAGTTCCTTAATTTTTTTGAAAAAAAAATTAAAACTCCCTTATCAAACATCATGCTCATTTTAAGAATTTCATTTTTCCTTTAAGTTTAAAATATACGCTTTTTAGCATGTTTATAATACATTTTCAATTTACATTTACATTTTTATTTTTGAATTGTTTATTTATATTTCCGTTTGAACAATAATATTTATTGAAAATTGTGAGAGAAACGGATATAATAAAAAACACCATACAACAAAATTCACTTTTTTTCATACTTACGCGGATCACTCCTTTTCGGCCCAATATGCCGGAAATGATAAAACTCTCAGATCTAGTTGCTAAGATCCAAACTCTCGACTCTCAAATCTATTTCCTCAGATATTGTTGCTAAGATCTACTTCCTCAGATCTTGTTGCTAAGATCTACTTCCTCAGATCTTGTTGCTAAGATCCAAACTCTCGACTCTCAAATCTATTTCCTCAGATCTTGTTGCTAAGATCTACTTCCTCAGATCTTGTTGCTAAGATCTACTTCCTCAGATCTTGTTGCTAAGATCTACTTCCTCAGATCTTGTTGCTCAGATCTAAACTCTCGACTCTCAAATCTACTTCCTCAGATCTTGTTGCTAAGATCTAAACTCTCGACTCTCAAATCTACTTCCTCAGATCTTGTTGCTAAGATCCAAACTCTCGACTCTCAAATCTACTTCCTCAGATCTTGTTGCTAAGATCTACTTCCTCAGATCTTGTTGCTAAGATCTACTTCCTCAGATCTTGTTGCTCAGATCTAAACTCTCGACTCTCAAATCTACTTCCTCAGATCTTGTTGCTAAGATCTACTTCCTCAGATCTTGTTGCTAAGATCTACTTCCTCAGATCTTGTTGCTAAGATCTAAACTCTCGACTCTCAAATCTACTTCCTCAGATCTTGTTGCTAAGATCCAAACTCTCGACTCTCAAATCTATTTCCTCAGATCTTGTTGCTAAGATCTACTTCCTCAGATCTTGTTGCTAAGATCCAAACTCTCGACTCTCAAATCTACTTCCTCAGATCTTGTTGCTCAGATCTAAACTCTCGACTCTCAAATCTACTTCCTCAGATCTTGTTGCTAAGATCTACTTACTCAGATCTTGTTGCTAAGATCCAAACTCTCGACTCTCAAATCTACTTCCTCAGATCTTGTTGCTCAGATCTAAACTCTCGACTCTCAAATCTACTTCCTCAGATCTTGTTGCTAAGATCCAAACTCTCGACTCTCAAATCTACTTCCTCAGATCTTGTTGCTAAGATCGATCTATTATACTCAATTTTACTTAAGCAATATAGATCACCTTTATTATGATTCTCTTTATCTGTACTTGTTTAAAATTAAATTACATCATAAAGATCTAATTACAAATTATTTAGAATTTTGAAATAAAACCAGTATTTTATCAAATGCTTTGAGATTAATGCATTCAAACTTAAAAAAAAAGATATATTCAGATCAATTTCAATATTATTGATTTTTTAATGTAAAAACTATGTCTACATAGATCTCAAACAATTTTATTAGATACTCTTTTTCCCAATTTTTTTCAAAATCTCTTTTTACATATCAAAAATTGTATTTTTCAATTTCATTTTTATTTTTTCCATATTTTTTTTGGAATTTGGATATGCGTCCAAAGTAGTTATGTCATTAGAAAAATATTAGATATCTGAAGAGAAAATGATAACTTAGAGAGTTTTAAAGATTTTATTTTCGAATACAAATATAGACCTCAGAGGAATACATTCTAAATAAATTTGTATCTGAGGGTGAATAAATAAGAACAAAATTTAAAGGGTTAGCATAAATAATGTAGAAATTAAGATTGGAATTTAAATTTAATACAAAATTAAAGGGAATGAATTTGCGATTAGTAGGGTATGGCAAATGGATTGGGAAACATTGGTTACACATGAAAATTATCAGATGTAAGAATTTGGTGCAGATATTTTAAAAATGAGATCTGAGTGCTTAAACAATATCTCAAAATTCAAATTTTCCAAATGAAAATTTGGAAAATTCCCAAAATGCAGAATCAACTGATGATTTTCAATCATTAATAACGCCAATACAAGAAGATCATTTTCCTTCTGCCAACGAACTAAAACAATGGTTTGATATTGCCCATGATGTTTTAATTAGTCCGCCACCTGAGAATCAACATCCAGAAATTGATGAAGAAGAGACACAAAAAGCAATTTATCTATTACAAAACTTAGACTTTCCTAAGAAATAAAATTATTTAATTTATTCTTGTTTGTTTTTTAATTAAACATGTATATTTATTAACATTTCCTTTTTTAATACCTTTCCAACTTCTATTAGTAACAAACACATAACTAATTTGAAGATTTAGCGTTATGAAGAAGTATCCAAGTAATAACGTCAATAATGCATTTGCGATAGGATATAATTGCACCAAAGGTTAAAACTTGTATAAAGAATGAAAAATGAAATTTAATACAATTTTTTTTCGAAAAAAATCCATGCTTGGCTAGATTTTCATAGTTATTGAATATGCATTACTGACATCTTGTAAAAGATGCCGATCAAGGCTTTCAAGATTGCTAAATTTCTCGATTAAAATTTACATTTTTTTTTTATTTGTGTTTAATTACATTTTACAGTTTGCAGACTTACATAAAATCCGCAACATAGTGGTTATTTAATATTTGCCCCACAGTATTGTAGTTTGAAATTTACGATAAGATTATAATTGATAAAGTAAGGTTTTGTCATTAATGCATCTTATAAACTTTCATTGATAAATATGGATAGATAAGTTCTGTGTTCAAAAGTAAGCATTTTTTAAAACGCGCAATTATATCAAGAACGACTATCATAAATTCATGAGTATCGATGATTTTCGTTTAGGATGGACTTAATCGGCTTGATTGATATACATATTTTAAAATGGCATAGCTTTGTGCATGTTATGTCAAGCATTGTGCCAAACCAATTTAAAATGAAACAAATTATTTTAAAGAAACTATATATGAACTATTCGAACACTTTATATTAATGTAGGGAGCTATAAATTTAAATATTCTAAAAATTTATTTATTTGTTAAGAGTTCGGAACAAATTTATTATTGAATATATAGGAAATCAAATAATTATGCATAATCGCATAAAAAAATGCTGAAACAATGAAAAGAAAAAAATAGTTGCCCAATAGAAAAAGTCGAACCCATACCCCTACCCATTGAGTTATCCTCACTTTCAAGTTTCGATCGAAAAAAAGGTATTTAATCGCGTAACTCGCACCTTTTAGTCGTATTTCGAAGTTCTATATAGTATTAAAGATTAAGTTACATTATGTACAAAATAACTTTTTATTGTTATTTGATTTTGATAGCATTATTAGCTGAATATGAAAAATCTCGTAGAAATAATCATTTCATTCAGACATAAGTATTGGATTGTTTCCCAACAAGCATAATAACACACGTTTCATATTATAATTTATTTCATTTCTGTACAAAATTTAGATAACGATATCAAATAAAAAAAACTGTGGCATTTTTTTACTTCAAACTATCATGAAGTGTAACCAAATTGGGTGAGTATTCTTGCTATCAGTATGACATGAAAAAGTGAACGACAAAAATTGAAGATATTGTAGTTAACTCGGATTTTTTTAATTGCAAACACATCTATAATTTGTTTAAATATCATTTATTATATCAAAATCGAAAAATTCGTTTTTGGAAATCTTTGAATTTATGAGAAGTTCTACAAAGACACTTACAAATATAGCGTTTGCAATAAAAAGGATCTTTAATCTTCTTCATCCTTGCTCAGAAACTTCTACTGGTTACCTTACGGGTAACCTGCAAAGCTGCTTCCAAGGCATCGGGAAAATAACGTATTTTCGTGAGACTACCTTTATTTATGTGGAAAAATTATTTTCTGAGAAAAATTTTTTAAAGGCAAAAGAAAATCATTTTTTATAAAGATGGAAGCTGATTTAAGCTACTGTCCTAAGCATGTTGATGAATGGTGCAATGACATCGATTTTGTCAATAAGAGGAACATCCATCAGCTGAGCATGATTCTGGATTCCTGCTTGTTAACATCAAAACAGTTCAAAAAGTTCTTCGAAATAATTAAATCTACTTGTAACATGGAAGAAGTATTAGTATTGATGAAACATACACATTTTGCATCCCATGATTGTCCGGCCGAGACTTTTTCAATTTTAAACAATGTTGCAGAGATTCTTGAAGTACCTTTTATTCAAGAAATCAATGAAGACATTAAGTATTTTCAGTCTGGTAAATCAATACCAGAGAAACAACATGATGAACCACTGAAGACTGCTACAAGTGATGAAAACACAAGAAAATTAAGAGAATTGCCTCTCATGGAAGATAACTTCTATGAAATTTTCAAGATCCTCACAAAGGCATCACGAGAAGATGATCAGTACACAATCAAAGTAGCTGTTGATGAAAAGTATTGCAATGTAAGAACAAGCAAATTAGATTACGACTCATTACTTTTCGCTGCTCTAAAAGGAGAGAACAAACTTGCCAGATATCTTGTAAAATATGGTGCGAATCCTAGAACAAAGTCGAGAAATCTTGATACGATTTTGAAACTCTATACGATGAGAAACGATTTGGAAGGTGTCAAGTTTGCCATCGAATTTATTGATATCAATTCACAAGATGATTTAGGCAATGCAGCACTTCATTATTCCGTATACAACAACAATTATGAGATAACGAAGTTTCTCATATCGCAACCAGACGTTAATATATATGTCAGTAACAAAGGCAAGATGACATCAACTCATAACGAAATTCTGAAGGCGCTTTTCAATTCCGCCACGAATTAATAAAAACTATTTTTATACAAATGAATTCTTTTTAATTTGAGAAAATAATTTTGAATTATTTAAGGGTGCCGGAAAGTGAGGTGACGCGATTTTGAGTATTGCTCATAACTTCATTTGTAGTAAAGAAATTAATGATATTGAAACATATATTAGTAGGGTATATACTAAGGTTTTTATTTCTATGATATTGAGTTCTTAGATACTTCCACTATGAATAAAACTGCTCCGCAATTATCGAACTTGCGGACCTATCTAGTCCCTTTTTTTCCATAGCAGGGGCTGATACTCCAGGAATGATATCCAGGTACAAGATACTAGATATTTTACAGAAAACATTTGGCACTTGTTAAAAAGTGTCGAGATGCAATTAGTGAGTAACTTCAAAACTAAGACAGATTTCACTACCATCTCATTGGATTCTGCTAATTACTATTAGGGAACAAACTCAATGGTAGTGGTTTCGAGTCGAAATGGTCTCATTCAAAGTTTAATTAGATTTGTATCAAGTCCTCCAATATTGTGTCGAAGCCAGTGAGATACATTTCAATAGTACTAAGTTGGATCTTCATGTTGCTAACATCATCAAAGAAGTTCATAAGATTAAGACTGAATTTGTCACTACCACTCTCATTCATGTACTTGTAGTATGTCTGTTTGAAAGGCTCATTCAAGTGATCTGGGATGTTACTTGAAATAGATTCAATCAAATTCGGAATGAATTCTGGATTTTTCTCGTTGTATCTTGCAAGGAAATCACATCCCAAGTAGACATCAGAAAGACTTGGAAGATCTTTCAAAAGATTTTCTCCAATGAGATACAAAATGTTTGTTATGAATTTGTAGAAACGGAATGACATCGGATTCCGTTTCGAATAAGGAAGTGCTTGTGGACATTTAGAAACAATCTTAGAGACAAACTTAAAGACTGTTTTAACAGATGGTCCTTTAGCACTTTCAAGAGCCAAAATTGAGAAATTGTTGTAAAAAAACACAAACAAATTACCCCAGTCTTCTTTCTCAAGAGGAACTGAGAACAAACAAAACAAAATCTTAAATAATCGCTTCGATTTCGAGTGATCAACAATATCTCGAAAATTATCAACTAATGAATCACAAAACTCATTACGTAATGCAGGTGTTGAACTGATAATTCGTGCAACAATTGTATATATCAAATATCTCGGTGGATAATTGATGTAATTAGTTAAAATTATTGTGGGAATATCTGTTTTGATCAAGTGTGAAAAGATGCTTGAATAGTTCTGTTTCTCCATGGCATCGGATACTTCTTTCGAACAGATATCTTCAATCAAATCTGACCATTGTCGCCAGAAAATATTATATATCATCTCTCCATCACATGAAAAATATGGAATATCATTGAACAAACTACAATGGAACTGTGAATTGATGGTACTTGAAATTTTTTTAAACCGACATTTGAATACCTTCTCAAATTTTCAAAGGCAAAAGAAAGTTCTCAATTTATATTAAGAGTGTGCAAAATGTAAAAAACGTGTTTCAAAAAAGTAAATATTTTAAGGATATTCCACAATATCTATTAAATGAAAACAACGAAAATTTCCTATAAATGATAATACTTGGAATTTTTTTTATTCAGTGGAAAAATTATTTTCTGAGAAAAATTTTTTAAAGGCAAAAGAAAATCATTTTTTATAAAGATGGAAGCTGATTTAAGCTACTGTCCTAAGCATGTTGATGAATGGTGCAATGACATCGATTTTGTCAATAAGAGGAACATCCATCAGCTGAGCATGATTCTGGATTCCTGCTTGTTAACATCAAAACAGTTCAAAAAGTTCTTCGAAATAATTAAATCTACTTGTAACATGGAAGAAGTATTAGTATTGATGAAACATACACATTTTGCATCCCATGATTGTCCGGCCGAGACTTTTTCAATTTTAAACAATGTTGCAGAGATTCTTGAAGTACCTTTTATTCAAGAAATCAATGAAGACATTAAGTATTTTCAGTCTGGTAAATCAATACCAGAGAAACAACATGATGAACCACTGAAGACTGCTACAAGTGATGAAAACACAAGAAAATTAAGAGAATTGCCTCTCATAGAAGATAACTTCTATGAAATTTTCAAGATCCTCACAAAGGCATCACGAGAAGATGATCAGTACACAATCAAAGTAGCTGTTGATGAAAAGTATTGCAATGTAAGAACAAGCAAATTAGATTACGACTCATTACTTTTCGCTGCTCTAAAAGGAGAGAACAAACTTGCCAGATATCTTGTAAAATATGGTGCGAATCCTAGAACAAAGTCGAGAAATCTTGATACGATTTTGAAACTCTATACGATGAGAAACGATTTGGAAGGTGTCAAGTTTGCCATCGAATTTATTGATATCAATTCACAAGATGATTTAGGCAATGCAGCACTTCATTATTCCGTATACAACAGCAATTATGAGATAACGAAGTTTCTCATATCGCAACCAGACGTTAACATATCTGTCAGAAACAAAGGCAAGATGACATCAACTCATAACGAAATTCTGAAGGCGCTTTTCAATTCCGCCACGAATTAATAAAAACGATTTTTATTCAAATGAATTCTTTTTAATCAAATTTGATTAAATCTGTATAAATATTTGAGAAAATAATTTTGAATTATTTAAGAATGAAAAAATTCTATGATTTAAGTAACTATATAGCTGGGAAAAATTTGAGCGTTTTTTAAAAAACATGGTTTGCGAGAAAAATTGAGCAATTACTGACACAAAGTCCCCACAATTTCAAAAACTTTTCAATGCCAAAAAATAATTTTTGTTTACAAATGTTTGCTTCCTGACAAACAGAGCCTCACAAAATACTCAAACATACAACTTAATAATAACTGAGTAACTAAACTCATTTTCTTACGTAAAGTTTCCTTATCGAACATCTTCCCTAATAAAGAGTAAGCACTCTTTCTAAATAGAGACTTATTGAAGGAAAATGAGATAGGAATTAACATGAATATCAAAAACAACAAAGACATGGCACCAGTTGATAACTCAATTCTGGTGGCAATATTCGGCTTTTATTGATACAAATGAATTATTTCGAAAAATATTTAAGGTTACACTTATGCCTATCTGACTTTAATTCAAATTTTTTTGACAATTGGCTTGAATTAAATATCTAAATTGAAGGCTCTGTCATAGGTGCGTAAGTGAACTCTTATATATATGATATCATCTAAGTTATCTAATAAAATAACAATTATACAAAAAGAAATCTTTTAATACACAAAGAAAAAATATATGAAGAATAATATATAATAAAACAAATATATAAGGTCGATGAAAAATTGAGCGTTTTTAAAAAACCGCCGTTTGAGAGGAAAATTGTGAGCCCCGATGTATACTTTTTGACATTGTCAAAAACTTTGAAAGGACCAAAAAAATTTTAGTGTCAGAAAGTTTACAAATGTATACTTTCTGACAAACAGACTCTCAGAAAGTACTCAAACTGCGGTTTTTAATTTCCGCACTTTTTTTTGGCGACCTTATATATATAAATAAATATAAAACAAAATAAAAAAATTATTATAATTATTGGAAGAATTCTGAAAATCCATCAATAGTACTAAGTTGGATCTTCATGTTGCTAACATCATCAAAGAAGTTCATAAGATTAAGACTGAATTTGTCACTACCACTCTCATTCATGTACTTGTAGTATGTCTGTTTGAAAGGCTCATTCAAGTGATCTGGGATGTTACTTGAAATAGATTCAATCAAATTCGGAATGAATTCTGGATCTTTCTCGTTGTATCTTGCAAGGAAATCACATCCCAAACTGTTAGAAATGTTCAAAAGAACGCCAAATGACAAGATGACATGTTTTTGTAATGAAATAACATTAGGAATGTGGTTAAGCATTTCAATCAAAACATTGAATGATTGACCTATTGATTCTATGTTATTAGATATCAATCCTAACTGTGTGAAATGGAATGCGAGAGTAAGGAAAGGTTCTTCCAAAACAATCTCTGGACAATCACCAAAATTAGCACGGAAGAATGTCAATATTTCTTCAACAAGTTTAGGAATAGTTAACAATGGTGTCAATGGTGATCCATCTTGTAATTTCATGCTGTTCATGATCATGTTAAATACTTCAACATGTGATTTGTCATTATAAAAATTGATGATACCGAAATTAGTAAATGGACTAAAGAAAAGTGCATTCAAAGTAGTCAATATTTTTCTTGCAAAATGCCAGTTTCCGCCAATACTAGCGAAAGAAACTGTGACATTATCTGTGTGACGACGTTTCATGTCGTGTGCTTCAACAAGAGAAATTGCGTCACTAAGGTTTAAGTTGCTTTGTTGATTGTTGTTGAAATTCGGAACATCAGAAAGACTTGGAAGATCTTTCAAAAGATTTTCTCCAATGAGATACAAAATGTTTGTTATGAATTTGTAGAAACGGAATGACATCGGATTCCGTTTCGAATAAGGAAGTGCTTGTGGACATTTAGAAACAATCTTAGAGACAAACTTAAAGACTGTTTTAACAGATGGTCCTTTAGCACTTTCAAGAGCCAAAATTGAGAAATTGTTGTAAAAAAACACAAACAAATTACCCCAGTCTTCTTTCTCAAGAGGAACTGAGAACAAACAAAACAAAATCTTAAATAATCGCTTCGATTTCGAGTGATCAACAATATCTCGAAAATTATCAACTAATGAATCACAAAACTCATTACGTAATGCAGGTGTTGAACTGATAATTCGTGCAACAATTGTATATATCAAATATCTCGGTGGATAATTGATGTAATTAGTTAAAATTATTGTGGGAATATCTGTTTTGATCAAGTGTGAAAAGATGCTTGAATAGTTCTGTTTCTCCATGGCATCGGATACTTCTTTCGAACAGATATCTTCAATCAAATCTGACCATTGTCGCCAGAAAATATTATATATCATCTCTCCATCACATGAAAAATATGGAATATCATTGAACAAACTACAATGGAACTGTGAATTGATGGTACTTGAGTTGTTCATGTTGTACTTACTCAAGTAATCACCGATGAACTGTATAATACTAAGTTCTAAGGTAAATTGGGAATTTTCGCGCTTGCAAATTTCGGAATATTCTTTAACATGTGGGGATGTTTCAATCATTACATGGAATACTGAATGTGCAAGCAACCGGACATAGTTTGGCTTCTGATTATTCACATCTAACGGTGCATCGTTAGCAATCTTTTGCAAAAAGAACGGATTGTTGATCGCGGAACGAGCAATTTGAATAAGAAAGCCAAGACGATACTGCATGGGTATTGAAAATGGTTCTGTGGCCATTTCTACTATTTGGTCGGACACAAATATGAGTTCTTGGATTATTGTGAACTGGGATTTGATGAAAAGGTCATCAATTGTGGTAGAAGTGAAGGACTGGTCTTCAAAGATGGCGGAGTAGGTCTCTTCTGGGTAGTTGTCGAATGATGTAAGGCCACAACAGATAAATTGGTGCATAACTGGCTCAAATGCTTTGATAAGGTCATCGTTGCCTGCCTGGCTGGATATATTGCATAGTTTGAGGCAGGATTGTAGAAGGAATACGGCTAAATTAAAATTTTGTTGCAATAAATCTAAAATAAACTGGATAATTTGGGCCACGAGTGGTGGAGACACAATCGTTGTGCTAGTAAGAAGGTTGCCAACTGCTGTAACGTTGTTCTTGTCGGTGAAAATTTCCATATGTTGTAATATTGTGGCAATAAAGTCAATAAGACCTGAACAGAGTTCGGGTTTCTGCATAATGAAGTCTGATTGTGCTATACTTGATGCAATTGAGATAGAATTTGTGGCTGATTCTGAGTTATCGGAAAAAAGAAGTTGTTTGAGTTTGTTGAAAATCTGATTGTCGATGAAAACATTTGCTAAGTGCTCTTGGAATTGAAAATTACCAATGAAACGATTCGCACCCGTTCGATTTCTTGTTCGAAATTGGAGACATGATAATAGAAGCCTTGTTGAAAGGCCAGATGTTGCATCGAGTGTAGAAATAGCGAAATCAGTGTATAAAACTAGAGGCTCCTCTTGAAAAAATCGTTGAATACGAAAATTTTCTTCTCTCGGGAGATTCGACATATTCTCCTCGAATATTGTACAGCATTCACACATCTCTCTGCACTCAAGAACATTCATAGGCTCTCTATTCATTGGAAAAGTTAAAATGTATTGATTATCGGAAATGTATATCAATTTAACAATAAATGCAAGTAAGTTTGCAACCTTTGAGATTACAAGTGGTGACTGACAGAATTCTGGATTAATTTCAAAGAGAGATTTATGTATTTCATACAATGCTAAATCTTTGTTATGCTGCCTTATAAAATCGGTAAGTAAGTCTAAAATTAGAGAACGCTGACTGTCAGGCATGTTTTGAGTCAATAGCATCTGTAATAACTCGTATGCATTACGCTGGTCTGTTAAAATCTGATTTTTTTGGGCCGTTGCTTGAATATATGTCTCTTGTGATGGATTCGTGAGCATTTCAACAATCTCTTTGATTGTTGCCACAGAAACTGTGGATTCCATATATTAGCACTTTGTGATAAAAAGTGACACATCTATCGCATTCAATTTTGTGAGCCAAGATTTGGCAAATGTTTTAGGCATTAGAAGATTATTGTTTAATTACATTTCTAGTGTGCATCATGATTTTCGAACTATTTCATTCAGATAATTTTTCACATTTTTTTTTGAACAGATTTTTTTTTCAGATGTAGATTTCTGATCGGCAAATCCAAATTTTAGCTAAAAGTGACAGGGAAAAAAACGTTTAGTATTAAAAAAAAAGACCGATGAGAGCTTCGTTCGAAATATAGAGGGAACTGAGAATGCGCAACCATTCTCAGGGAATATTGGATGCTATTCCCGTTCCCTCTGTATGGAAAATTGAGGTTTTCAAAGGGAGTTAAAATAATATCAAATTTATACTAATTTACTTCAAAATACAAAAGTATTTGACAGCTAAAATTAGTTGCTTTAGCAAGCCTATCAATACCCTTTTACGATTATTGTTACTTTTTCGAAATAAAAGTAAAAACAAATTTATACTAATTTACTTCAAAATACAAAAGTATTTGACAGCTAAAATTAGTTACTTTAGCAAGCCTATCAATACCCTTTTACGATTATTGTTACTTTTTCGAAATAAAAGTAAAAACAAATTTATACTAATTTACTTCAAAATACAAAAGTATTTGACAGCTAAAATTAGTTACTTTAGCAAGCCTATCAATACCCTTTTACGATTATTGTTACTTTTTCGAAATAAAAGTAAAAACAAATTTATACTAATTTACTTCAAAATACAAAAGTATTTGACAGCTAAAATTAGTTACTTTAGCAAGCCTATCAATACCCTTTTACGATTATTGTTACTTTTTCGAAATAAAAGTAAAAACAAATTTATACTAATTTACTTCAAAATACAAAAGTATTTGACAGCTAAAATTAGTTACTTTAGCAAGCCTATCAATACCCTTTTACGATTATTGCTACTTTTTCGAAATAAAATAAATTTATTATCAAAAACCTTTTTTTTCTTAGTAAAAATAAACGAAATTTTTTACCTTATGAACTTTTGATGGAAATATGCAAATTTAAAATAATAAAGAAAGCCGCGAGCGAAGCGATCGGCTTAGTTCGAAGATTTTGATTCAAATCTTTGCTGATCTGTAATTCGCGGAAGCCGCGAGCGAATCGAGCGGCTTAGGTCTAAGATTTTGATTCAAATCTTTGCTTATATTCCTTAAATTCTTTATGAAACTCGCAACAGTTCCATAAAAATTTTCAATTCTAAACTGTCGAAATTACCGATCGGTAATCACACCCTTCACGGGTGTGTCACTTTTTACAAGTGTGTCACTTTTAGCTAAAATTACCCCTACTCGACGATTGATACCGGCATTCAAATTTGAAAACGATGTATCTTCCTTTAAACTCATGCAAAATTGATTAATAATGTAATTGAAATAGGGCTGTACAAAATCGAGAAAAACATTGCCGTGCGGTAATATAGGGTCAAAAAAATCGCGCCTCGGCGGCTCCGCCGCCTCGGCACTATTAAGTGCGCATTATATTTAATATGTCCTTCTTTCTTTTTTTTTCTTTTTTCTTCTTCTTCTTTTCCTTTCCTTCTCCTTCTCTTTTTACAACAACGTCGAAGATCTTCGAATTTGATTGTTGGAAAAGCATCTATTTCAGATAAAGGATGCCTTTCTCACAGTCAACATACGAGGGTCCTGGCTGAAACGTTCTCAAAAAGCCTGAGATGGTAATTCTCTGATCACTCATAGCTGGGCAGGTAGTCATTGCTGACAATACCTGTCTTTATGCATGCACGCTTTCATGTATATGGGTTTACACTATCAATTCGCAAAGTTGTTCCGAATTCTTCCAAAATGGAAGGACCCGAAACAACTTTGCTTGTTAACGATACAGACGCATTACTTTGCATTGATACTGTGCTGAGTTGTGTAGAAAGTTTGATTAGAGTTGTTTTGTTCTGGTATCTCTCATCTTCTGATGAGAGAAATCAAAGCAAAACAACTCTAATGAATTTGTTTTCACTCATTTGTATGTAGGTTTTTAGTTCGATTGGAGCTGCTTCATAATGAGATCTCTCATCAATTGATGAGGGAGATCATAACAAAGCAGCTCTAATGTATATGCTCGTATTAACCGGGTTGTAATGCGTTGTAACGTCAGCTTGTAGTTCGTTTGGGGCCACTTCACATTGAGATGAGAAGAAATGATTAAAGGACTCTGAAAGGCTTTGGCCGTTGATGTTGTAATCGCATTACTTGGAACTAGCTGGATGCTAAGCTGTGTAGAATGTTCGATTAGAGCTGTTTTGATATGATTTTTCTCATCATAAGATTGGAGGAATCATAGCAAAACAACTCTAATGGGTTTACCATCATCTACTTGTATGTAGATGTTTGGGAAATTGTCTTGTTAATCGATTTTCGAGATGACTTTCAAATGCTATAATCAAATGACAAACAAGTCTAAGATTTCTCGACAATACATCAAATCATGATGTTTGTAAGTGCGATGAGATTAGAGTTTTTGAAGGAATGACAAGAGAAGTAGGGAAGCTCGGCATTCGCCGAGCAAATTAAAAATTAACGTATGGATTAAATTTTAAGAGGAATTCAATTTTAATTACGGGTTGTTCAAATATTGATTAATATAAATTTATTAATAAGAATAAACAATTTTTGTTTTTGAATTTATTCAATTTATAGCTTTACATATAGTTTCAAAATTGTACAACTATGATTATTTCAACAAAAAATATCTTACTTTTTCACTTCACTTTCACCCTCACTTTTTCCGTAATTCAAATTTCAACATTATGTATTTTAATTCCTTATAGTATTTTTAACATAATTAATCAAATAATAATTGGAAGTTCTGAACTCACTTTTTCCGTAATTCAAAATCAATAATATGAATAATATATCTATTTATTATATACTGATGCTATTTTCAACTAGAAGTGAGGTACGGTAATCTTACGGATTCCCGTAACTCAATTTTACGGAAAAAGTGCAGTAAACTACTCAATTTACGGGAAAAGTGTCGTAAACAATTGATGTGGCGGTAAAATCACGGTAATTCACGGAAAGCTATATGCGAAAATTTGAAATTATACAAAATCGAGCGAAGCACTTTTAAATAGGTTGTTCTCGTATTTAAAATACTATTCCCAGATTTATTGTCGTCAGAATATTTCCAAATTTTTGCCGATTTACAAAAAATGATTTACAAAGCATATTTTTTAATCTAAAAAATTCCTAAAAAAAGGAACCGGTGTGCGGAAACCTCGGTAAATTACCGCGGTTCCCGTTGGGACTGCCATAAATTGAAAACAATCGAGATGATTTTTAAGGGGTTTCTTGATATCATTTCATTTTGAGAATTATGATTTGATTGATAGCAGGTTATTGACTTTCACAACAACTTTCTTTCAACATAAGCGCGATGATGAAAGATAGAATGCATGGCTATACTCAAGAATCGATTGGCCAATATAATTTCATATGTATAATACGGTAAAACTATAGCATTATTGAGAAGTATGAACCTAATGTATATTATTTTTAAATCATATTTATTCACTATCTTGTTAAAATTGAAGATTTTTCATAATATTCAAAGCATTTAAAATATCATTTGGATTTATGGATGAGTATATATAATGATTCAGCATCTCTTATAATACACACAAATATTTCTCTTGCTGAGTTTTCCATTTGGTATCTCTCAGAAATTCTATTTAAAAAGCTCTGAAAAAACGGTGTAAAACATCGGTTACTTCAATAATTTAGCAAAAATACATACAAAGGAAAAATAATATAACAATAATTCAAAAATTCTAATCTCTTGTAATTTAACACGTTATCTTGATCTGATATCGACTGGATCTTATGCTAATAAACCTACATTTGAAGTAAAAGGTCTTCATAACAAATGTAAGTTTTTTTATTGGATTGGTTCGTAATAATGCTGATAATTCTATCCAAATCAACTTTGAATATAAATTTAGAACTTCCAAAAAAGCATGTGAAAACTTGAAAGAAGAATTAAAATCTTGGGACGCAAAGCAAGTAAAATAATGACCCTGAGACTATCACAGATCTGTGTTATCATCATCAGAACCATCAGAAGAGAACTCTGTCTTGAGTAATTCATCAACAACTTCCATTCCTGGGAGTCTTGAGTAATCAACCCTTTTACATAGCGGTTCTTTTTCTTGGGCTTGCTGAGTAAGCTGATTAACTTCATCTTCATCCATTGATTCTTCAGAATCATAATTAACGTTTTGAGCAACTGTATTAAACATTGGTTTTGTAAGAATTTCAGAAGGTGCATGCCGTGAATCGGAAAATTTTGTTGCTTGAAATTCAATATTTCTTCTAACATCGACATTAAACGGATATTTCGATTCGACATCTCTTTCATTAATAAACTTTCTTGTTTTCTTTGGCATGTTTCGCATTTTTCTTAGATTTGCATCTTGTTTTCTTTGAATAAGTTGATGGCGCGATGATAAATCTGGTCTAGTTGTTAAAATTGTTGCTGCTGAATTATCAACTTTATTAACGTGACTGATATATACATGATCACTCTCTATTTTAGCCAGTATTTGGGATGAAATAGGATCAAAACGTCTTTTCATCCGCCCAAAATTTTATATTTTGTAAACAAGATTTTGTCAAAAATCTATCATTTTGACAGAAAATCAAATCAATCTATAAATCAATCAAAATAACAGTATTATTGGATGAGATGCCTATGGTACTGATGCGTCCTAAAGTTTGGCAAGAAAAATAGGTAAATTCTCAATTTCATTCACTAAAGAATTTTCTTCATAAAATATTCACACACTTATTAAATTGAATCATTTTGTAGGCAATGTTATCAAGATACCAATGATGCTTCGGCAAAATAAGATACCAAAATCTTTTTACTCTAATATCAAGATAATGAACAATGCATATTTCTAAATAAGGCCTTATATAGTCAAATGTATATAAGAACATTGATTCAATAAGTAAATTATTCAAAACTGATGTAATATTTCATGAATTCCTTTCATGATCGGATTATATTTATCTCCCATTATTGCCATCCTTGTCCAGAAGTACTATAAATCTTGAATTCGAAATTGATTTTTTTCAAAAGGCCTTTTTTCCGAAAAAAGTGCAAAAAAGTGGCACATTACACCAAGATAGTTTAAAAAATGGTCTTTGAGGATATCTATTTGTATCAGTGATCAGAACTAGTTTGTGATGTGGTGATATTTAAGTTTGGTGATGATATAGATTTGATATAAAATTATATTATATCAATGTATGATAAATACTATTTACAATAATAAATATTACTAAACTTGTCTAATAGCCAATGAATCTATACGCAATTTGCTTAAAATATAGTTTAATTTATAATAATGCACATAAAACTTATTATGATAGTATTTATTAAGCATATTAGCTTTACATATAATACTTTGAAGAAGCACAATTATGATTTCTATTGAATAAAAGAAAAAAGAATAGATAAATTATAATGAGAAAATTTTTTATTCGTAATATACAAAAGGAAGTATTCTGTATTCATTACCTGAAAATTGGTGATAAATTATGGTGCAATAATTCCGAATTTGGCTAAATATGAAATTCAAATTACTTAAAATTGATTTTTTTTTCAGTAAAGGATAAGTAAGATAGTAAACTAGTTGAATAAATATGTAAGGCTAAAAGAAAATAAAGGAATTCGAATGTTTTTTTTTAATAAAATATACGTACAAAATCTCCTCATTAAAGATAAGTTATCTCTAAAAATGGAAAGTGTTTCTCGTTATTATGTATATTTTAATAAAAATTCGACTTTTTTTAGTAATTTGAAGAATATTTAATAGTAAGGCTGCATGAGTGAGCTATAATATCTTCCACTCTATTGTTTTATATAAATGTAGATTTTCGCAGAAAAATAATGTTAATTTATAATATTTTGTATTAAAATCGAGAATCGTAAATTCTGATGTATTAATGATCGATTGCTTTATGATGATTTGTTGTGGAAATCATCATTTAGTAACTAAAATTTAATTTCCTTTGTATCAATGAATTCGTTAATTGAATTATTGTAAATTCATTGAAATAAAATGAATTTATTATGTGTCTTTTATTAAATCATTAAATATCCATATCATTAATTGTGATAAATCCCTAACTTGAATGCGGATATTGACGTATTTTCAGAAAACTATACTAAACTTGATAAAATGACTTTATTTTAGCATATAAAGAGAATTGTGATACAAAGAGCGGTGTATTAACTTGTTTGGAATTCCAAATTTTTTTTGAAAATTAAAAAATAAATTTAAAATTTGTTAAAATTATAGACAAAAATAAAAATTTGAGCTTTATTTGGAAATTTTGGAACTAGTAATTGACATTATTTTTTTATTTTGATATATTTTACAGTAAAAAGTTTGAATTTTTGAAAAGATTTCTAGATTATTTTATCTCAAAAAGGGTTTTATCAGGTGATATCACAAATTCTGCTATTATTTCAACTAACATTAATAAAGTAGTGAAAATCTACCAAAAACAAAAGAATTTAACTTAAATTTTGCTTCTTACAGCTGATATCGGACTTAATTTAACTCTTATCATTGATAAAACTATAAAATATACTGATGGGCTTTAAAGTCTATATGAGTTGTGTTGTTACATTTCAACAATTCTTACCACTAAGATATTCATTCATTTTTAGTGTATGCATTTAATTTATGATAAGTATTATCATAATTTAAATATGTGTTCTAAGCTTATTGATAATATTGAGGCCAAACTTATTTGAGATTTATGTAATTTTCTTTAATTCCAAGCTAAAATTTCATTTTATTCACAAAAGTATTAAAACAAAAAAAAAAAAAAAAAAAAAAAAAAAAAAAAGGTAGTGGGGCTTCCAGGCACTTCGTGCCTTCTAGCCCTGATGTTGATGTTTAGTATAAATGAAGTTTATATTCGGAGGACTCTTCTTCTTCCTCCATTGCTTCTGGGAAGAAGCCTTCTTCTGGGTCGAAAACATTATATAATGTTTCACTTTTCACAAATTATATATGTTTTCATGTTTTGTCACTTTTCTGTCACTTTTCAGGGAAAAACATTTTTATTATTATATATAAATGAATTTTACAAAACCACCGTTACCGTTCTTTGGAAATAAGAGTAAATGTAAAGATATTATATTGAGAGAACTTAAGAAACTACCGAATGGTCTAACATTTGTAGATTTGTTCGGTGGAAGTTTCTATATATCCCATTTGTGCCATACAATATTCCCAGACTCAAAGATTATATGCAATGACTTCGACAACTATATGGACCGTCTCAAACATATACCAGACACAAACAAAATATTGAAAGAGTTAAAAGAAAAGATACCTATAGGTAAGATGGAACGTATACCATTAGATAAGAAAAATACTGTCAGAGAGGTTTTGAAAAAAGCAGAGTATATTGACTGGGATAGTATATCTTCTAGACTATTATATAGTGGTGCTATAAGAGTTCATGACATTGAAACACTTATGTCAAAAGTTTTATATCTTAACTATACAAATGTTTTCAAAGAGGACATAGAAAAATATATTGAGGGTATAGAGTTTGTAAGATGTCATTGGACAGAGTTGTATGAAAAATATAAAGACAAGGAAAATGTTTTCTTTATAGTGGACCCGCCGTTCTATAACACATGGGATTTTCAATACCAAGTAGACTGGACTTTGAGAGACTCTTTAGAAACTTTAGACGTTTTACATAACCATCCATGCTTTTACTTTACATCCGATAAAAGTGGTTTGGAAACCGTTATGAGATGGTTAGAGGACATACATGACTATGAGTTTATATATGACAAGATAGAATATGAGAGAGGTCCTATAAACTGGAGAAAGTGTCATAACAAAGAAATTTTATTAGTAAGTAAATGTGGTTTGAAATAGGACTACTTGTTTTAGGTTTTTTCCATTGTGTCATTTACTTATTTGACGTGGCAGAAAGATATAGAGAATATGAAGATGAACCAATGCCTGCAAATGTCCAGTATATGTACTCGTAAGAGATATTTTTATCTAATATTAAATGGACGCACAGAACTTAGCGAATGCACAGCAACCTGGACACCAAACCCAGAGAATATTCCAAATGAAGTTAGAATACAAACTGCAATGGCAAACTATGGTCAAGTGCAACAGATGTACAAATGCAAACTGCCATGTCAAATGACGCTGCGTTAGGTTTGCCACCATGGTATGCAAATATGAGATGGAAAGAGTTTTTATACAAACCCTGAAGTGGGATATAAACAACTCTATGCAGATGACGCGAACACAGGAGTTGACCCAGAGTATGTTTTTCTACCAGAGGAGAAATGAATGTATGAGCTCCAGTTAAAGAATGCTATGGAACTCAGAAGGAAACGTAAGAGACTAGGCGGACATTAGATTTTTACATATAGTAAAATGGGTTTCTTTGGAAGAATAGGAAACTTCTTTCGAAATGTTGGAAGAGGTATATGGAATGGAATAAAATCTGTCGGAAGAGGAATTTGGAACGGAGTCAAAAATATTGGTAAAAGAGTAGGTCAGTTCGTTGGTATTATACTAAAGACCCTGAACCAGAAGAACAAGCTCCTGTTATACAACAGCCTGAACCTGCACCACAGTCAAGTTGGCAACCAAATCCAACACCTCAACCGTATTAAAATTATATTTTTACCGTTCGATAGTAGTTGTATATGAAACTAAGTTCTAAGTAAAACGCGTGGTATAATGGAATTATTCTCTTTCTTCCATCTGTAGTAAACCATACTTGAAAGTCTGAAATACTTCCACTCGTGGTTCATATAGCTTTGTAGGTTTTTCGTAAAAGTCATTTGCCAAGCATAAAAAAGAGTTTTGTGCACCAGAAAATGAAGCATGAACTATAATAGCATCTGAGTCGAAAACATCTTTAAATAAATATGGTTCATCTCTTGCATATCGACTGTAAATATTTGCTAAAGGAAGTTCGACTTTCTGATTTAACATTCTTTGCAAATAATACCATGACATTGATTGTGAATTCTGTATATATTTGTTCGTCTTTCTTTGGATTGTCTTCGTAGATTTGAAATGACACTTGTGAATTTTGTTTGTCATATACAATTCTCACATAAAGTGTGCTCTCGGTATTTGCATATTCATCAGCATATTTTGCATAACATGAATTTATTTTATCTTCTATATTTTTTAACGCAGTCTGTAGAGAAGATGAAAGGTCAACTTGTATTAGCTCAATTTCTTCCACATTTTTCGTTTCCCTTCAGATATATATCTATATGAAACCTTACAATAAATGGAAAACTTTTATCTTCTACAGACACAAACTTTACTCTTCGAAAGCCAATAGCTTTTGTGACAGATGGGTCTCTTAACCATCTTAACGGGTAGTCAAAACGATAGCCTTCATGCTTTACGGTCTCTGTCTCAAACTTTTGACCGACATTAGTAAAAAGTTCATCTAATGGTTTAGTTGTAGCAACTCTTGAATTTTCTTTTTCTATTGGAAGCATATTTTATCTAGAATAAAAATGTCAAATGAAACAGCGTCTATGAGAGAAATA